TCAGAAGATGTCTGTACTTCCTCTCAACCACTCCATTCTGTTGAGGGGTTGCCACACATGATATTTGATGTAGCACTCCTTGAGATGCTAAAAATGCTGCCTCCTGAGAACCTTTCCCAAGTTCAAAAGTATTATTTGTTCTTATCTTTTGTACCTTTACACCAAACTGTCTTTCTACTATTGTGAGAAAATTTTTAAGGAGTCCAAAAGCATTGCTTTTGGTGCTCATAAGGAAAGTCCAAACCGCCCTACTATAATCATCTACAACTGTCAAGAAATACTTAAAACCATTGTAAGTTGACTCCTTGTAAGGTCCCCAAACATCTACATGGATTAACTCAAATACCCTTGTTGATTTAATTTGACTTAAAGGAAAAGAAATTATGGTTTGCCTAGCTTTAGGACAAATTTGATAGAAATAATCAGAGTTAGAAGGTACAGAAATAAAACTGAGATGTTTCATTGATGAAAAGGGCAATGCCCTAACCTAATGTGCCAAAGGCTTACATCTGAAACTGAGCTTGCAGAAAAAGGAAATGAGACTGACAATTGACTAAAGACATTTTGATTTAAAACTGAAAGTGGTACCATACTTGTGCTATTTCTAACTCCACTTGGTTCCAAAAAGTAGAGCCCATCCCTTGCCTTACCAAAAACTTGTGCGCTCTTCACTAAAGGCCCCTGCAACATACAGTTACTAGAGGTAAAAAAGAGAATAGAGTGAAATTGTAAGCAAAACCTGTTAACAGATAATAGATTGTATCTGAAACTAGGTACATGTAATACATTTTCTAAAATGAAATCAGGAAGAGTAGATATTCTTCTTATGTGAGTGACAGTGACTTTGAAAGAATTAGGCAAATTTATATTTAATGGAACTAGGAGAGGTGTTAAGGAAATAAAGGCATTTGAGTCAAAACATATGTGTTCAGATGCTCCAGAATCAATAATCCATGAACCAGAATTAAAAACTGAAAGACAAGTTCTAGAATATCTAGCAATAGTACCAGCCACAACATTTGCATTGATATCTGTTCCAGAATTTCCTGAATTTGCACCTTTAATCTGCTTGATTAATTGTACCAGCTGTGAAAATTGATCATGTGAGAGGTGTTGATTGAGTACTTCATTTTGATTGCTGATGTTCTGATCTGATTCCTCAATTTGAAATGCTCCATTGCTGTGAACTTGATTTCCCTTTGTGAATTCAAAGTTTTCTAGGAAACCTGTAATTTTGTAGCAATCACTGACAGTATGACCTACTTTCTTGCAATAACTGCATGTTACATTAGGGTTAAACTTAGTTTTCTTTCCCTTGAAAGTTGTGTTCCTTTGAGTAGAGTTAGTCACTTTTTGGATGCTGTTCCCAAATTTTTGATGTTGCATTGGGTTCCTTTGCATCTGCCTTGCACTCTTTTGTGCAAAGTTATTTTGATTCGTTCCAATAAAAGATGAAGAATCTGGAGAAATGAGTGGGTTAGAAAAAACTTCTTTCTGGCTTTCATCTTGCAATACTAGGGAATATGCATGGTTTATGCTTGGTAGGGGGTTCATCATTAGGATGATTCCCCTTGCTTGGCCATAACTATCATTTAAACCGATAAGAAACTGAATAAGCCTTTCATTATCTAGTGACTTTTTTAATTTTTGCTTTCCTTCACAGACACACAAGCTACTGCACTTCACATCACAATTAAGTGAATCCAATTCATCCCATAAACATTTGAGTTTTGTACAGTAGCTTGCTATGTCACTAGTTTCCTGTACTAACCTTGATAATTCCTTCCTCAGGTGATAGAGCTTAGCTCCATTTAACTGACCAAACCTATGTTCAAGGCTGGTCCAGAGATCTTTAACAGATTTAGAGTAAATGACACTGTCTCCTATGTCTTTGGACAATGAGTTAAGCAACCAGGATGTTACCATGTCATTACACCTGCTCCAAGGCTGATAGTCTCTGGAAGTGAGAGCTGGAGCAGGGCAAGCACCATTGATGAATCCTATTTTATTTTTAGCAGATAGTGCTATAAGCACAAACCTTCTCCATCCTTGGATTTCTTTTCCATCAAAAGCTGTGTTGACAAGAGACATTCCCTGTGCATCAGAAGAATGAAGAAAATATGCATGGTTTGAGTTGATGGTAGGGATTCCTCCAGTGGTATTCAGATCCACTGTGTTTGCAGTGTTATCAGACATTGTTTAAAATTGATATGAAGATGAGGAAGACGACTGATGGATCGAGCTTTCACTGCTCTGATACCATGTAAGAATATTAAAAAAACAAAGACATTGATGGAAAGAAGTTTCTGCTTTTTCATTCCCTGCCTTTACATGTATTTACACAGTATATAAAAGAATATAAAAATGGTTACTTTATTCAATAAATGTACTATCCTTATTTGTGGGTTACGTGCTCGCATGCACTAAAGTGAACAGTGGACAAAATGGACAGTTGCTTTGTATCAAAAGGAGATAAAGAGCTTTGGTCAATATGATCAAGCTTTACTTCATGCAGACCAAAGCTCCAATTTCTCTTTCCTTGTCTCTTCTTCTTCATCTCCAATTTTATCGGTCATGGTGTCTTGTATCAAATAACCAGCTCCAATATTTATTAATTTTTAATCATGATAAGTGTCTCTAATCCAAGTACGAACGTGGAGAAATCAAAAGACGAGAAATGAAAGGGAGTTAAATCTATAAAAAAAAAAGTAAGATCTATATATAAACGAAAAAAGAGGAAGTATTTGACAATACTCTATCATTGCTGAAATTGAAAAACTAATGATTTTACACAATATTTCTACTTTGGTCCTATTAATTTCGGCGGTTTCCAATGCAAGGGCTTTGAGTGGACCGCAGACTGTGATGTTCAAATTTGGATCCATTATTACTATAACTCATTTTGTCCATAAATGGTTTTTTTTACGATTTATTTTTTCAAAAAATGTGGTTGTTCATAAAATTTTATAAGTGAGATTTTTAAAAATAAGTGTTTCAAGTGAAATGCATGTCCAAATATAATTATAAATTTTAAATATTATTTTTCAACTTAATTTCAAATATTATTTTTCAAAATTTTTACTTTTTACGTCCAAACGCCTACTTAGGCTCATCTGAAAAACTATTTTAACTGAGAGAGAAGAAGAGGGAAAGATGAAAATAAGGGAATATATGGCGTTGGGTTGCTTTGCAAATTGACAATTCTAGTATGATTCACGTGTTATCTAGCAAATTGATAATTCTAGGATGTTGTCAACCTTATTCCTCACTTCTTGACTAAGAATTGGGTAGTCTGTATTGCTTATATTGGTGGCCCTTCATCCCCTCACTTGGGTTCTAGTTAGTTTTTTTGGTTGCTTTGCCTTCTTAAAGAAAAAGTTTGATTGTTGGAAAAATTGTCAAAAAGTAGGTTTTGGGTACAATTTTAGCCATTTCATGCCCTTCATTTTCTGGCAACTGACGCGCATACCACGAGGCCTTTTATGGTCGTTTAGACCACACGCTTTTCTTATTAGTTCGTTAAAAAAAATATATTTTTATAATTGAAAATAATCTAACTTTAAAATCTTCATTTTACACATTTTATCCTTAATGAGATCACACAAATATCATGATCCCACAAAGTTTTAATCCCTTAAGCTTTTAACACCATAAGTTTCAAAAATCTTCTTTCTTTTCTTTAAATTTGGTACGCAATTAAACTATCTAAAGTACAAGCTAACGAATGTAAAAAGAGTTTCCATGCAATTGTTGGGTGGTTATACGGGGGATGTAGTATATATATCATCTTCCCACGGCACCTTACTAAAATTAACAGAAAATGTTACTCGACATTCTCTAATGAAAACAATCATATATCTTGAAAAGACTAAACCGATGGGATAACTATCACATGCGTCATGATCGAGCTCGATGGGGACGTTAGGTTATAATCCGATCAAGTTGTTAAAAAAAAATCATATAGTTTAACACCACATTCTTCCTGAAAAATGAGGGGACTATCTGTATACGGTCGAAATAGATTTCGGCCTTCGTACGTCCGATCAAGTTCGAATGATGATCGATCGAAGTGAGACTCCGAAGATGGAACAAACAAGCCTCGAACCCAAGGGCCGATCCATGTCGAGTTCGACGTCGTTATCGAGTTCGAATCCAAATCGAACTATGATGCAGAGTAAAGCTATCATGCTTATGATTCAGAAACCAACCAACATTGACCCCGAATCAATTCGAGAGCTCGAGTCCGAATCGAGCTCGGGCCAAGATCGAGAGCTCGAGTCAAAATCGAGCTCAAGCCAAGATCGAGGGCTCGAGGCAAGATCGAGCTCACGGACAAAAGCCGTTGAAATTCCACTAGTGAGAATCTTGGCAGAAATTGTGGAAAAACTGATTTATTATGGGTCTCCCACTGAGTATTTTTTATTATGCTTAGAGCAAGGTCCATCTACTATAAAGGGCATGGTTATCATTTATGAAAAGGTAGGTTTTGCGATGCTTACATTGTAATTAAAACACTATATTCTCCCATAGAAAAGAATCGTTCTTTCAGGCTTCTTAAATTGATTCTACTTGTTGAGTCCTAAGATTCATTTTCTTTACAACCTTATCTATTTCGCATTCTTTGCAGTCCATATTTATATTTCTATTTATCCTTACAATTTGTATTAAGTTGCGCCACATATCCTTGGAACTACGTATAAATTCAACTCTATCTATTTTTCGGGTAAACAAATGCATCTATTATATTTTATATATATGGCTTAGTTTGGCGAGAACAAAGTTTAAAAATATAAACACAACTTTTAATCTTGTGGTCTAAAACTAAAATACGTGTAATGTACCAAAAATGGATTTTGAATCATGTGATTTTTAAAAGGTCGTATCATTCCTATAAGAAAATGTCATTAAGAGTAAATTAGAAACGTTAGGATTAAAAGCTTACCAAATATATAAAGTGTGGAGTATTTCTTAAAGAGAATTAAATCCAACTCCCCTTTATTTTCTAGTCTCTCCATTTCTCCAAGTTCCTACTTAGATTGGAGATATTTCTCATAGTTAAATATCAAAGAATGAGATTTAATTGAATAAATTAAAGTCCTAACCATAGTTAAAGTATTTAATTTTTTCTTTTATCCATTCCCAAATATAATTTTTGTCTCTCTTAGTAATAGAACTTCCTATAGTTCCTCCCTCTTCGTGCCAAAATACATATGCTCTTAAGGCAACACCGAAAATCATAGCACCAGAGAAAATCTTTCAGATTTTTATCATGAAAATCAAGTTCTTGAAGGTCATTGTTAGGTTAAAATCAACAGAAAAAAATAACAAGTGAAAAAACAGAGAATAAGACAGGAAGTCACGAAACTTCATTTTTCTGGTAATATCTCACCAATTTTTGTCAGGTTTTACTTTATCCATTAATTCGATTCCTTAGAACTCAGATACTTTATGCTTTTCTTGGTGTGGCAAATGTCAAGTGAAAAATTATATACTATGTGTTTGTGAAATTTACTATCCGAACTCTTTGGTATGGGAAGAATGGACTCTGATATTTGAATTTCTTGACTGAACCTTTTCGTGTGGAATTTCGATACTTAATTATTCTATTCTTTGGTCTACTAGCTAGATATTATTTGGGAATTGATAAAAGAAGAAATTAAATACTTTAATAATGATTAGAGATTTAAACTATTCAATTAAATTTTATTTATTAATTTTAATCATGATAAGTATCTCTAATCCAACGGACATGGAGAAATCAAAAGACTAGAAATGAATGGGAGTTGAATCTATAAAAAAAAGTAAGACCTATATATAAACGAAAAAAGAGGAAGTACTTGACAATACTCTATCATTCTCAAATTGAAAAACTAATGATTTAACACAATATTTCTACTTTGGTCCTATTAATTTCGGCGGTTTCCAATGCAAGGGCTTTGAGTGGACCGCAGACTGTGATGTTCAAATTTGGATCCATTATTACTATAACTCATTTTGTCCATAAATGTTTTTTTTACGATTTGTTTTTTCAAAAAATGTGGTTGTCCATAAATTTTTGTAAGTGAGATTTTTAAAAATGAGTGTTTCAATAAATTTTTGAAATTTTTTCCCCCACTCATAAAATTGAATATATTTTTCAAGTGAAATGCATGTCCAAATATAATTATAAATTCTAAATATTATTTTTCAACTTAACTCCAAATATCACTTTTTAAAATTTTTACTTTTTACGGCCTACTTAGGCGCATCTGAAAAACTAGTTTTTAACGGAGAGAGAAGTAGAGGGAAAGATGAAAATAAGGGAATATATGGTGTTGGGTTGCTTTGCAAATTGACAATTCTAGTATGATTCACGTGTTATCTAGCAAATTGATAATTCTAGGATGTTGTCAACCATATTCCTCACTTCTTGACTATGAATTGGGTAGTCTGTATTGCTTATATTGGTGGCCCTTCATCCCCTCACTTGGGTTCTAGTTAGTTTTTTTGGTTGCTTTGCCTTCTTAAAGAAAAAGTTTGATTGTTGGAAAAATTATCAAAAAGTAGGTTTGGGGTACAATTTTAGCCATTTCATGCCCTTCATTTTCTGGCAACTGACGCATACCACGAGGCCTTTTTTGGTCGTTTAGACCACACGCTTTTCTTATTAGTTCATTAAAAAAAATATGTTTTTACAGTTAGAAATAATCTAACTTTAAAATCTTCATTTTATATATTTTACCCTTAATGAGATCACACAAATATCATGATCCCACAAATCTTTAACCATAATTGAGCTAGTGGCAAATAAATATTAGCTAAACCAAATAATATTCCAGGGCAAATTCTCCTGCCACTACCAAAGGGAAGATATTCAAAATTATTACCAGTAAAATCTACTGAGCTCTGCTCAAATCTCTCAGGCTTAAAGTTTTCTGCATCATCCCAATATTTCGGATCTCTTCCGATAGCCCAAACATTAACCATTACTTTCGATTTCAAAGGAATAGTAAAGCCATTTATATTTGTTTCTTCCCTACATTCTCTTGGGAGCATAAGTGGAAGTGGAGGATGGAGTCTTAAAGTTTCTTTAATGACTAATTTTAGGTATTTCAACTCTTCGACATCATTTTCATCAAAAGTTTCTATTCTGCGAAAGACTTCTCTTACCTCTGCTTGAGCTTTGGCGAATACACTTGCATTCCTAATCAGTTCCACCATAGCCCAGTCAATTGTGGTTGATGTTGTTTCTGTCCCCGCGGCAAACATGTCCTACATTTATGAGAAAGTTACATTGTCAAATTATCTCACGTGTGTTATTTATCTTGTACAAACTCCTTGACCAACTTCTACTGAAATATTCAAAATTTCAAATAGCCTGTTTATCTAGACTTGTGCTACTAAATACTAATACCAGTATGTACTATAATGAAAGGAACATCTATTTATCTAGACCAAAATTATTTCTTGATTTGTATAATGAAAGAAATACTATTTCTTTATCATACAGTAAGATTTTGCTACTCTTTTCATTATCCTAGAATGCTAAGTTCTGATGGCTGACTTAATCTTTTCATTATACTTTCCAAAAGTGTAAATTCCAGCTTTATGAAAGCATCATTAGTAGTCATATTTGAAAGCTAACTGAATCGACTCTCTCTAAGTACCAAAAATAATTATTGAATAGAATTGATGCAATTTGAAACGTGGTCTTAAATATAATATAATATTTGTGTGGTCTTAAATGTATGCTAAAATAATACTCCTCCTATTTAATTTATTATGTGAAATAAATTTTTTTGAAATTTGTGGTCTTAAATATAGTATAATATTTGTACGGTTATAAATTTTTTAAAACTATTAGATCTTAAACATGTTAAAATATTTGTTAGCTATAAAAATTTATTTCTAAATTTAGAAAAAAGTTAGTCTTTCTTGGAACAGACAATACAAAAAAATAGAGCCACGAATAAAGGGACTAATTAGAGAAGACTTTTACTTACATAAATAATAGCTTTGATGTTGTCGTTGGTGATTGGAAATTGAAGGTCTCCATCTTTCATAAGTCTTAGTAGTACATCAATTAAATCTTCACCTCCTAATTGACCATTGAACTTGCCAGTTGCAAGATTTTTCTTGTGCTCATTTATGACATTATCAACAATGGAATCTACCTTATGGTGGAGATTCATAACTTTATCCCTTTTTCCAGTGAGCACATGAAGAAACTTTAGTGAAGGGAATATGTCAGCCACATCAAGCCCTTCCAGTAAAGCTGTAACATTTTTCATTACTTGTATAAATTCATCTTGCTCCTTGAATACTGTCCCAAATGCTGATCGACAGATTATAAAGCTCGTGAATAGAGAGATCCTTTTTGTAAAATTAACTGGCTTATCAGAAGATGATCGAAAAAATTGAATGAGACGAAAAACTTCATCTCGTCTAATCGAGCTAAATGACCGAATATTTTTGGTATTGAGCACTTCCAAGACACAAATTTTACGCATTTGTCTCCAGTAATCGCCATAGGGAGCAAAGGCAATATCGGAAGAGTTATACAAGACAATTTCGGCTGCCAAAAGTTTTGGCCTAGATGCAAAAGCGAGGTCATGAGTTTTTAGTACTTCTTTTGCTATCTCAGGTGAAGTAACCACAACCACAGAAACTTCACCTAGTTTAAGATGCATAAGTGGTCCATATTTTTTAGCTAAATCTCTTAGGATACGATGTGGAAGTCCACCTACCATATGAAGCATACTTCCAAGAATAGGTAGTTTCCATGGACCTGGAGGCAATCTTTTGGCTTGGTTTTTCGAATTCATCCATTTCTTTAATAGAAAGAGGAAAGATGCAAAAAGGAAGATGGAAACCAAGTTCAAAAACATCATTTTAGGAGTGAAAAGGAAGGTTTATTTAGTCCAATTGGTTTTCCAAAGAGTTGTGGCATATGCTCTTTTATAGAGTTTTGTTTTGGCAAGAAATGGATTTTGTAGTAAAGACAAATACGAAAGGTATATTTATTTTTTTAGCAATTTTTGTTTTTCATAAGTCTGATAAAAACAGTAGGTCTTTGTTTATTTCCCAGCTAAGCTTTCTTCTCAGAAATAATTTGGCTGACTTTATGAACAAAAATGATGTAAGCAATTTAATTTTAATGGACAAACTATTGTGGAGCCGAATATGAATTTATATTTGTTATCCACGCTAGCAAAGTTCTTAGTAAGCAATGAAAGAAGTGGTTGTGTAAAGAAGAAAAGAAAAATAATTACAATATATTATTTATTAAAGAAGGGGTTGTGTAAGAATATATAACTCTCCGTATTATTTTATATGACATGCTTTTTTCTTAGTCTAACTAAAAAACGAATGATACCTTCCTTTTTTGGAAACTATTTAATCTTAGTATTTTCATTTACTTTTTCTACCTAAATTATTGGGATCCACTTGATAAAAAAAGTTTATTCTCTTATTAGAAGAGAGAAAATTATTTGAAATTAATACATTTCAGAAGTTGTCAAAATTCCGAATTAACGGGTTAAAATAATTGCTGGTTTTTATATTTAAATTACTTGTAATATAGAATCTGTTACTCTGTCAATCTATAGAATTTGGTCGCTAGTATTAAATAGCATGCTTGATTAGGCATATCAAATTCTTATCAACGAATTTTACGAGCTTGCGCCTTGACCATACAAACCCTCTTTCTCGAATGTAACTTTCCTTTTTTAAAAAAATTGGAGAAGAATAGTGTACCACATCAAAGCCCACAAAGATTGTCGTTTTATTTCCCTTTGCTGGTCCTACTTCGATGATGTGTAGAGTAAGTAAGGCTAATTAATTATTGACTTGTGGTTGTTAGGCATGCTCTATAAATAAAAAGGCAGCTTTCCTACCCTAGTTAGTGTGACCCACCTGGAATAAGTACATCTTCCAAATAAATGAGAATTCGAATGAATCTCTAATTTGTAATGGAATATAGCTCAAAGGAATAATATGAAACAAGAAAAAACAAGTTAGAGATATAGAGAAAAGAGATAAGAGATTCTTATTTTTTTCATGTATTCAAGTGTATTTTTCAAGCATATACAATATCACTTCTCATCCACTATTTATAGTATTGCACAGAGGTATACCAATGAATACCGTAAACATGTCATTAAACATTTGAAATCATGGAGAAAAATTATGGGGGAGATCATGGAGTTACAATCATAATTCCACAAGTATTAAAGTAGTGAGAGTTATGGAGATAATGGAGAAGAGTAGTGAGCATTACTCCTTTAGTAGTTATGGACATCCACCATAATTCAATATTTTATGACACTCCCCCTTGGATGTCCATAGATAATGTGCCTCGTTAAAACCTTACTTGGGAAAAAAACCCTACGGAAAAATATTCTAGTGAAGGAAATAGAGTACACATATCATGTAATATGCATTGCTTGCTGCCTCATTAAAAACCTTGCCAGAAAAACTCAGTGGGATAAAACCGTAGCTAAGGAAAAAAGAGTACAACGTGTATTGCCCCCCCTCCCCCCGGTTGAAAAATCACTTTACTTTTCGGAAATGACACATTCCAATCTCGTATAGCAGCTTCTCAAATGTTGAGGTTGGTAATGATTCATTGAACATATCCACCAAAGTATCAATCAAATAAATTTATTAAACATCTACATCACCAATCAGCCGAAGATCATGTTTGAAAAGAACTTAGGTGAAATGTGCTTTATTTTGTCGCCTTCAAAATATTCTTCTTTCAATTGAGTAAAGCAAGCAACATTGTCATCAGTATTATTGAAATCTTCTATTTCAAAGAAAAGCCACACATCTATTGTGTATTGAGGCACTTGCTTTATCAGTTGTTAATATCTTGGCATGAGTTGAATCAACAATTGGCAGTCTTGTGAAAGTATAATATGGCAGTACCCTCATATATGTAACAATCTGATTGGTCATTTTGAGCATTTGCACCCGATTCAGTGTTGCGAGGGATTAAGTAGCCTCACGCGATAGATTATGACTTGCGTGTATGGTCATATTTAGTTTTCGAGTTGTTCGGAATGAATTTGAAACGAATGATTCTTAACTAAGAAGCTTGAAATTTAAAGAGTTGACCGGAAGTTAACTTTTCACTAGATGACTCAGGAATGGATTTTTGATGGTTTTGTTAGCTTCATATGGTGATTTTGTACTCGGGCGTATGCTCAGATTTTAAATTGGAGGTCCCAAAATGATTTTGCGTAATTTTTCGAAAAATTGTTAACTTTGATTTCCAAAATTTGTCCATAATTAGATTATTGTTGATACATGGTCCCTATTTGGAATCAGAGAGTTCGAGCAGCTTCGTAACAATATTTATGACTTGTGTGAAAAATTCAAAGTTATTCCGAGGTGCTTAGGCACGTTTTCTAGCTGTCACGACCCAAAATCCCCTAAAGATCGTGATGGTGTCCAACGTTGCCGTCAGGCAAGCCAACGGTGAATTATCAATTTAGTTACTAATTTTAATAATTTTGAAATCATAAATCTCATTAAATAAATAAAATAAACATCGGGTACTCGTAATATCCCATGATTTCTCTTTATCAATTTCCGTATAAAGTATAAATTATAAGGTAAAATGATAATAATTACGTGAACTATAATAATGAACATCCAGTAGAAACCTCCAAAATCCGGCATCACAAGTGCATGAGCATCTACTAGGAAATACAATAAAATACAACGTCTGTCTGGAATACAAGTTAGACAGGAGAATGTAAATAACTCTGATGGAGACTATGTATGATGCAGATCGTAACATAGAATGCAGCTCACCGTAAAGTCCCCGCAATAGCCGTGACTTTGCGCCCCAAAGACCACCAGATATATATATACCTGCACAATAAGTGCAATAACTGTAGCATGAATACGTAAATCAACGCGTACCTAGTAAGTATATAGCCTAACCCCGGAGAAGTAGTGACGGTAGTTCGACATCGACATTTACTAGTGGTCCAATAAATCAAATACAGTAATTAGTAAACAAATATGAGGCAAGGTAAATAAACAGTATAAACAAATATAGGTACGTGGTACAATCCTCCTCTGAACAGTAAACTCAAGCTCTCAATTATCGGTTACCTCCTCAACCAGAGTATGTATGTAAAACGGTCCCCACAAGATAGGCCGTCACAACTCAAATTAGGAAAACTCACAGTAATACTGGCTTCTTGTCAAATATTATGCACGGTTCTGCCGAGGCGAACAGACCGATCCCATATGAGTATTTTATAGAAATGTCGAGGCAAACGACCCGATCCCATAAGAGTATTTTATAGGAATGCCGAGGCGAATGGTTTGATCCCATAAAAATATGATATTGCCGAGGCAAATAGTCCAATCCTATAAGAATATGATACTGCTGAGGCGAACGACCCATTCTCATAAGAATATGATACTGCCGAGATGAACAGTCCGATCCCATAAAAATATGAAACTGCCGAGGGGAACGGCCCGATCCATAAGAATATCCTTGACCCCACTCATGAATATACGTGTGAGTTATGAATTTAAGGAAACTTTTCGATGAAAACACACAACGCGGGAGAAGTTCGCAGGGGAGGCACAATTATTCTGTGGCTAATCAAGTAGCTCGTCAAATCTATACAATTGCAAGTCTATTACCTCACGCAAACCTAGTCTCGATGAGTAACACGAAGAAAGGAAATAAACATGCAAGGATAACTCAAATAATACAAATAAGGCATGACATGAACCTAAGTCTACCCGGACATAATCAGAAATTCTAGCATACGCACGGACACTCGTCACCTCATACGTGCTTAGCTCCCACAACATGTAACACATAAGAATATAACACATACGGGATAAATTTCCCCTCACAAGGTTAGACATGAGACTTACTTCGCTCTGAAGTTCCATCACCGGCTGCGACTCTCTAACACCCCAAACGGATTGCCATCGACCCGAAACTAGTCAAACAATGTGCAACCAATAGAAATATACTCCAATACTCATAATTAACCAATTTATAACAATTCTCAATTCTACTCGAAAGGTCAATAAAGTCAACCCTCGGGCTCATGTGCCCGAATTCCTATCATTTTCGAAGATAAACGTTACCCATAACATTACGAACTCAAATATGTGATTTATTCCTAATTCCATTTCCAAAATCGTGGTCAAAATCCAAAATACCAATTTTTAGGTTTTCTCTTAAAATCTCAAAATTTCTATAATTTTTCATGTTAAAGCCTTATGATATTCATGAAATTAACTTGCAATCTGTGGGAATCACTTAACTCATGTTGCTTGATATATAACTCCTCAAAATATCTCCCCAAATTCGTCTATCCAAGTGAAAAAGAGAAATGAGAGCTAAGTCTCGATTTAGCAGCACCTGCGGAAAATTCCATCGCAGGTGCGGTTCTCTCTAGGCCCAGGAAAATATGCTTCTGCGGATCAAATTCTGCTCCTATGTGACCGCTTCTGCGGTCCAGCCCTCGCTCATATGCACTCGCACATGCGGAGACCTTCCGCTTCTGCGATTCCAGCTGCCTAGCTCGCTTTCCGTCTCTACGGGGAAATCTTCGCATCTGCGAGCTCCCAAATACGGATATACCCTCATATGACACGTGGTGTTCTCATACTACACTTCGCCATATTGTTTTGCAGATCCAGGTGTTGGAGGTAGCAGACCCAAGCGAGGATTTAAGATAAAGCTGATTTGATCGTCGCAGTCCCTTGGAGTCCTTTACTTATATTTATACTGCCAGTTCACTATCCGAACAGTATTATATTTTGAGATATTTCTATATATTCAGTTAGAGCTCATGGCTTTGTACTACCTAGTTTTGGGAATATGTTGTGATCGTCACTGTGTTGGCTTGTATCATATTTGTTTTTGCATATACATTTTACTCTGCTTGTTATATCATGTTTATTGGTTTAACTGTTGTAAGTGATTATCTTACCTAGTTTTAGGGATTAGGTGTCATCATGACCTCT